TTTCAGAAACGCTCCAAACCAACGCGTGCCGAGCTCTGGTTGAGTTCAAATGACTCGGCCTAGCTGGTGTAAACTCGGCACAATCCTTACAGATTCTCCATACCACTTGATTTCTAAAATTGGGCACATAGTAGACCCAAATTCTCTAATAACGATGCACCACAGTACCTTATTTTTCTTATTGTTCTCACCAGGGTTCCACATGGGATGGCTTTCCGAAAATTCAAAAACAAAGTCCCTTGGCTTTCGCAAAATTTTACGAGGTCTTTTTTGACCCTAAACCCTAAATGTAATCCCTAATAAAGCGAGATGTCGACTAAAATAAGGTAACTTAGGTAGTGTTTTTCGTCCACAAAAACGATATCCTCTTTGCTTCTTGTCCAGCTTTTCTTCAGAAAGATATCCAGCGTGCTCATGAGCGACCTGACCGAGCCGTGGTCAGCACACAGAATTACTGTAGACCAACATGTAGACATAGGTCTTTTAATTTAGCTTGAAGACTGCAGTTTGACAAATAAGTCTAGTTGAGTAATGTACATAAGCCGCGCGTTTTGTAAATCTTTCGTTACCCTTTTTTCAGCCACGAAAGCAGTCTTTGTCAAGCTTCTCTGGATGTGTAGAGCATGCCTGTTTCAGAGAATAAAACAACGAAGTTAGAAGAGCTAACATTTTATTCAGCTAATCTTTATATCCGTGTCAATGCTGGCCGGTCTAATAGAAGCTATACCAGAGATGGCGACGATAACATTCTCTAAAACGTTTTAGAATATTTCGACTCAGACCCACAATGTTGTGCAATTTATTGTGGACAGAAATTACAACTTAGCCGGATTTCATTTATGCTTCACTTCAATACGAACGTAGTAAAGCTCACTGTGTTTGTCTTTAAACAGGAGTTTCATAAGAAGCCGGTTAAGAGATGTAAAAGCCGAGTTCTATAAGACAAACTTAGTTTCAGATTTAGACATTGATCCGCTTGCGTCTGTTTCTGGCTTCCTTGTGCTGCTGCTATCAGGAGGTGTTGTTCTTCTGCTCGGATGTATCTGCATATCATTTTGCATCTGTTGCCGATGTCTCAAAACTATTCATCCACAATACAAAGGTACAAGGGGTACAAGGGACTGATGAAAAAAGAACAGTCAGTAACCAAATAATTTAGGAGAATCCATAGAATGCGGTGGAGGAGCTTCACCACCCGAACCTCCACAGTTCTATCCGCCGTCTCCACCAAAAATCCCGTTACCAGCAACCTCGACTGCTTTCACACCGAGGAAAATTCCGCAAGGGTCAGTTATCCTGCTTGTCTCAGTGTAAACTTGAAAACTAATAGCTTTCCAGAGACAACTCGAGCTCAGTTCAGGACGGGTTTCGTTCTAGTCGAACAGCAAATGAGTACGGTAGCCCAATGGACATAAATCAGCATGACTACACATACGTCAGAAATGATGTGCATCGCAATTTATTATGACACTAGAGCGTTATCTATTACCTAAGCCTGACTAGTTTATTTATATATCAATTCTGCCAAAAATCTACTTGTAATCAAGCTTTCTCTAGCTCTCCGGTGTTAGTGACAGCTGTATGATTCGCATTCTGTAAGACTGTAATTGTCGCTCATGCTATGGAAGGG